GCTGTGAGCTGCTGATGGAGGGGACGTCTGTTTCTGCTCCGGTCCAACATCTGGCTCAGCAGAAACAGGAAGTCCATCTTCTCCTTCTTCCTGGAAGTTCTGACTGTTTCTGCAGGAAGTGATATTTGTCAGATTATCTGACAGATTATCTGACAGATTAATAATCTGACACGTTATCTGGCAGATTATCAGAAAGATTATCAGAAAGATTAATAATCTGAGATTAATAATCTGACAGATTAATAATCTGACAGATTAATAATTTGACAGATTAATAATCTGACAGATTAATAATCTGACAGATTAATAATTTGACAGATTAATAATCTGAGATTAATAATTTGACAGATTAATAATTTGACAGATTAATAATCTGACAGATTATCTGACAGACTAATCTTTCAGGACTCGGCTGGTGGGACATTGTGATTTGGACCTGAACGTCTCAGAGACAGGAAGTCTTCAGTCCTGTATCCACAGGCCACACCCACTCAGTCCTTGTTACCATGGAAAGGGTCCAGTACCTGGGGGTCTGCGTGGCCCCGCCCACAGCCTCCACCCTGTAGATGAACCGACCCGGCAGCAGAGAGACCAGGTCTCCAGGGTGGAGCAGGAACCAGGAGTCCTTCTCCAGGGGTCTGGGGTCTTGGCTCGGGAACGACTGGATGAAACACGGGTTCACGTGGGTCTGAAGGTCCAAACAAGACAGGAGAGTTTACAGACCGGTTCTTGTCCTGCAGCGCCCCCTGCTGGACGGGTCCAACAAACTGGGTCAGGATCTGATAAAACCAGAGGTACCGGTTTGAGTCTCAGCTGTCCCTGCAGGTTCTCCAGCAGCCCGTGGTGCCTGGACACCCTGGTGTCACTGATCTGGACCAAGAACAGGAGGAACACTTTACAACTGGGTTCTGTAAGGTTCTACAGCAGGACCGGTTCTACAGATCAACCTTCTCCAGAACATTCCTAAAGATGGTTCTAAAACAATAAAATACTGATCCTGCTCAGAACCAGTCCTTTAGAACCAGACTCTCAGAACCAGTCCTTTAGAACCAGACTCTCAGAACCAGACTCTCAGAACCAGGCCTTTAGAACCAGACTCTCAGAACCAGTCCTTTAGATCCAGACTCTCAGAACCAGACTCTCAGAACCAGACTCTCAGAACCAGTCCTTTAGAACCAGACTCTTAGAACCAGACTCTCAGAACCAGTCCTTTAGAACCAGACTCTCAGAACCAGTCCTTTAGAACCAGACTCTCAGAACCAGTCCTTTAGAACCAGACCTCAGAACCAGACGCTCAGAACCAGTCCTTTAGAACCAGACCTCAGAACCAGACACAGAGTAAGGTTCTGTAAGGTCTCAGGAAGACTCACGTCCAGTAGGGGACCCCGGCCTAAGATCGTCTCCCCCGGCGGCAGGTGGATCGGATCCCTTCCGTCCACCGGGACCAGATCGAAGCCGGACATGGGTTCTGTGGGCCTGGTCTGGACCGGTCTGGAGCAGCAGGTTCCTGGCAGGCTGCGTTGCGAAACAAGGTTCTTAATAAACCGGTTCGGACCACTCTGTGGACCCGAACCTGGAGCTTTAACCCGGTACACGTCCTTTGGACCGACCCGCTGAGCAGAACCGAAGGATTTATCTGACAGGGACGGGTCCGAACTCCGAAATCACAACTTCCACATTCAAAACTTCCGGATTGATTCAGAGCATGCGCAGTCCTGACAACAACCAAACTCCATTTAGAAAATTTCAAATTTTCAAATTTTGAGTTTTTTTTAAAGATAACATGTAAATCAAAATAGATTATAAACAAAAGAGAGATCTGTCTTTAATTCGGCATGTAGATTACACCTAACAACAAAGTTCTCTTACATTTCCATTCTGGTTTTTGGGACATTATGACTATTTTTATCGAAATTAAACCAGATCTAGATAAAATAAGAAAACATTTCATTAGAAAATTGAAGTATGAATTTTGTCCATTCAGGTTATAAAATGAACCGTGAATTTGATTAACAATGATTTCACTTAATTATGATTGTTTTAAATCAATTAGTTATAGAAC